TCCCCCCCCCCCCCCCCCACCGTTGGGATGTTGAATGTATGTACATAACTATCGGCTATCAAGGAAAATAATACATTAATAAGCAGATCTTGATGTAAATTCGCTGAGGTTGCATTTCTCGTCTGATGATGGTAGAATAGCGTGCGTAAAAATTTTCGCTGCCACGTTGAAACATTTTATCTCTGTCACTTTTTGACGTCTGATCGATGACTGATGAAATTAGGAAGCTGATAGCATTCTAGTTAGATTATCGTTCATCTTTCGATATCCCCTTATTTTAGCATTAAGTTTATGAAGATTTCAAGCGATTTCTGTATGCTCTCTGCTCGTAAAGAAGCGCACGATGAGTTATCGTCTTGGAATGAAATTGTAGCGCCGATATTCATTTTGCGGGATCATGTGGGTTAACCCACATGAACTGTATCATTTTATTGGTCCTTAAGACAACGCCCTACCCCACGATTTCGTAATACTGCCGATCCCAATGAAACAGCAATTTCCAACGATGCGATCGCACGCGCAAGGGGAGATGTGTGGCGAAGGAGGACTTTTACGATCTGGCAATTCGCGAAAGAGTTTGTCAGTCCCAGAAATATTTAAATTCAATTCGAACGTCGATGCTGTAAACCGTGACGAATCGAGGGGAATTCGTCTCGATAAAGGAAAGAGGGTTTGCTACAATGAAGTCTGTGCTGTTTTGTATCTTATGCTGTTTTGAAATTTTACTTCCATACACGTGGGCCGTTAGCCGTGCGTTTAATTAACACGTGTTCTAAAATTAAAAACATATGGTTGGCGACCTTGAAACGGTCGAGGCGAGCCAGCCAGGGGTTGGATATCATCCGGAATGTAACGTTCCATCCCCGCAATGACTACAAGGATCGCCATTAATCCTTAGGCTGACTTTCTTTCCGCTCGCTGTCGTACAGAAACGGGGCGTCCTCGTTATCGACGCTTATCGCTAATAAGATCGCTGGACCGCTCGTTATCGTCGTCGTCGCACTCGCCCTGTCCTCATTTTCGTACGATTGCGATCGTTAATTATCCCTATCGCAGCCGATCGCCCTCTGCTGTTCTCCTCCTTCGCCTTCCACCACCACCACCACCACCC